GTACCTTTATTATGAATAGACTCAAAATACATCAGCAAAAAAACTGAATCACAGAAGAAAACTGCTAGCAGCTAGCTTCTCCCGAACTCTATTGATTTTAAAAGTAATAGGTTATACTTACTCTTCTTCCATATCAGGATCTGGTATGTATCCCTGCTTGTAGCAGTATGCTCTTTTCTTATCGTAGCAACACGCCTTTTGTAACTCACACTCCTCTTCATTCAAGTCCCTGCGTGTGCCCCATTTCTTGCATTTACGCTGATTTTCAACTGGCACAACACAAGTTGCTGAAAAATAGATTAAAGAGTTTTGATCGGGTGCTAAGGCTGCACTTAAACATTATCAGAATCAGAATCAGAATCAGTTTATTTGCACAAAAATAAAGATAATATTTACAATGTGTAATAATTAAGTAGAAATAAAGTTAAATTAATTTAGGTATACAATTATGATTATAGTGAGGTAGTGTGCCTAAAGGCTAAATAAACTGAGAAGTTATCGAGTTAGCCTTTAGTAGTAAATTTCAACTTTAAGTTTGGATGAAAAATGAAAAGGAAGGAAAAAAACTTAACAAATGTAATAATGATAATCATGCATATGCTTTAAATTAGGAGTGTTATATTTTAGGAACACTACTTAGTTGATTGTATAATAAGTATTTCTTTCTTTCTTTAGCAAAGGAGATTGAGCTTTTGAGTGATCTTATAGCTCATTGGGACTTTTCCCCATAACTTGGAAGCAGTGAAGGAAATGGTTTGTTTACCTATCAGGGATCTGGCTGGGATCAGGATGAGGATCAAAATGATAGGATCACTCAGAATAGAGATCATAGTCAGGGGATCAATAGATTTCCTTGTAATCGGGATCAAAAACGTATACGGGGGAGCAAGGATGTCCGAGCGGTTAAAACGCCGGTCTATCACCGCTGTGGTCCTGGTTCGATTCCCGGTCCGGGACTATATATGATTTGAGTTTGTAGGCTGGTTCTCTTCCTTGCTCCGAGGGTTTTTCTCCAGGTCCGCTGGTTTTCCTCCCTCAGT